GGTACTTTAGAATAAGCTTATGAGTTCTGAGAAAAACCTGTTAGTGTTTTTATTCAGTTGACTTAACCTAGAGAGACTTTACGTCCATATGATGTTGAGTCTTATTAACAAAGAACATGCAATATCCTTTTTTGTGTCCCTATGAAGTAAATTAAGTTTTCATCTTTGTCTTGACACTTTTAAGTCAAATATTTTATCTGGAAATGTTATCTTTATTGTTGCTGTTGTAAATGGGGTCTTTTTCCTTCCTCATTTTCTTTTGTTTTTATATATGAAAGCAAAGCTATTGTTTTCTGTGTATTAATTGTGTATCCATCTCTTTCTTGACTTCCTTTATTGATAGTAGCACTTTATCATGTCATTTGTAAATAGTGATGATTATACCACATCCTTTTTAATGTTTCACCTTTTTTTCTTCTCTAATTGCATTGGCCAGTGCCTCCGTAAGTGTTCACTGACAGTATTAGTGGTCTTGGTAGACATCCTGTTCTGTTCCTGACTCTAGTGCAGATGCTTTTAATCTTCCCACATTAATCATGGTGTTGACTTTTTAACTGAGATAAATGTATTTTATCATGGTGAGGAATTTTTATTAAGAGTTTTGTATTTGTTTCAAGAATGGATGCTGATTTAGTTGAATGCCTTTTTAGTGTCTATAGGTATGACTATATATTTATTTATAGATATTCATCAGTATTCATCAGTGAGATGGCTATTGATGTGCTTGTTAGCTAAATATCTACATTACAATGTATACCAAGAGATCTTAGGTATTATTGTAACTCATACCCTGTGGTATAGGAAACTTGTCTCTTTTATGTTCACTGCTCCACCCCAGCTTCTACAACAATGCCTGACACATGAAAAGTATGAATTTTTTTAAAGTATTGTTCCCTTGAGAAGCTGGTGCTTTATATGAAAACTAATACCCAGACTTATTATACTCCTTAACATCACACAAAACAGAAAGCAGGGACCCTTTGAAACTCTTCTTTGATTTGTTAATGTTTGTGAAAGTTCATAAATCGAAAGGTCATCAGAAACCCTACATTGTATTGGGGGGAGAACTCTTAACTTTAAACTGTTTTGATTAATTCTGTCTTTGGTATTTTACCACATTTCTTTGAGGCATCATCCTCAGAGTGTTTTAATACTTCAGAATTTCTAAAAATCCCAGTAAAAATGGATTTCAAATAATTTCAGAAGATCTATCTTCTTAACTTGTAAACCATAACATTACAGGAGATTTGGAAATGACAGAAATGAAGAAAATGAATTATTAGGCCTATCTCCCTATTACATCTTTTATCAACTGTTACACCTTTAAATAACTACGTATAAGCCTTTCCAGTCTTTTTTTCTCCCATGTTTATGGTTTCACCTACATGTAACGCTAGTGTGTCTTGTTTTCTTTTTCCTCTAGACATTGTATCAAGCATTATTTTTGTTTTTGTATTCCTACCTCATCTGTTTAAAAAAGAAAAAATGATGAACTGAGGTTTAGGAAGACTGGACTGATCTTCTAGCTGTTAGTAATTAGGGTCTTGGTTTTAAGCCACTTATAATGAAATTACCTCATTTACTATAAAACATGGTACAAATATTGTTAATTCTAATTTTAGGATGATTTCACAGATCAAATTGTGGGAATAAAATACTGTAAAGATGTACAGAGAAAGGAAGATTTTGTTCCTGAGTTTCAGCACTGCACAAAGGGTGCATTTAGTTCTGAATAAGTAGTAGTTGATTTCATTTGTCTGTGATTTTATCATTTCAGTATTATTTTTGGCTTCTTTTGATAAAAATCCCTGAATTAAAAATATAAAGCATCCAAGTCAGAGTTATGAAGATAGCAGTCACTTGTAATAATTTATTCATGACGTTCAAGTACAGATGGATTTGTACCTGTATCGCCTGCTATTGATTTCTTTTTAAAGTAAAATCTTTGGCAGATTTATGTTGTAATGCATGCCTTAACCATCAATTATCTTACCAGAGTTAAGGTATTTTCTTCTTTTTCTTCTGCTAAAAATTCCTGATACTCACTTTTTTCTTTTCTTCTTTTTCTTTAAATTGTATTTTGTTTTTAACCTCCTGGTTGAGTTCAGCAGCTTGCTGCCTTTATATAATAGTTTAGTATTATTAAAATTGTGCATTCTTTTTAAAGTTATAATACAAAGTTGTAATATAAATATAATCAAAAATCAGAGGGGAAAGTATTTCAACTGGTCAGAGAGGCTTATCACAGTCTTTTCTCGAGCTGCTTTGCAGCCCTACAACTAGCCAAGGAGCTAATTAATTAATGAGTGTGTTATTACTCTTAAATTCTTAAAACTGCACTTGATTTAATTGTGAGGAACAGTTTCTTTTATGCATTGCTTTAGAAATGCTTGTTTGCTAGCTTTACTTAAAAAAACCTTGATTTCCATTACTTTACATTTTCGTTCTGTCTGAGAAGCTGCCAAATGGTGTCACTTACCACACTGGAACCTATCAAGACCGGTTAGCAAAGCTCCAGGATCACCTTCGCCAACTTTCCATCCTCTTCAGGAAGCTGAGATTGGTCTACGACAAATGCAATGAAAACTGCGGAGGGATGGATCCTATCCCAGTGGAGGCAAGTTTGGCAAAGGGAGGAGGAATGTGGGGTGTAAGGTCATCTCCAGACGCCGGCAGGTTTTTCCTTTCTCTCTTTCTCCTACTTCACAATATTTCCAGATTTTGTATTATATTGGTGTTTGACTACAGAAGATGAAAATGTTGTATGTGTGTATATACACACACACACACACACACACACACACATCCACACATATATACATTCACACACATATATAGAGAAGGAGAATTAGTACTATCTTTTCATGTTAATAACTTCCTGTAGACTTTAACATCCAGGATTATAGTGAATTTTTGCTGTTGGGAGGAGAGGGTTGCCTGTGGCAATTTTTATACTTGTCAGTGTCTCCTTTTAATCAAATCAGTGCCTGATTTTTTTTATTAGGCGTTTTAATAGTACTGTAAAATACTTCAAAAATGGTTTTCATGTAAGTTCTTTACAGATAAAAAGGTTATATTTTTATCACTATTAATTTAGATTAGCTTACTGGAATCACTCTAGTTTTAAAATACATTTTTCAAATTTAATCTCAGATCATAGATACATTTTAATTAATTAGGTATATGATATTTTTATAGCTGGCCCTTTCCTGTTGACAAGTTCTGTCTCTGCTGCCAGAGGTAGCTGGGGAGGTTTGGCTGTTCTCTCACGACAAATGAAGAACAGTTTCACATGATCAGTACTTTCTGTTTTGAGTGATCAGCACGTAAGGAGTGAACAAAGAAAGAGTAAACTGCAATAGTGCCTGAGAAGAAGTGGTCAAAGATGTGAAAGAAAGATCAGAAACATGGTTGACACTGACAGATGCTGCAGAGAAGTCAAGGAGAATAAGGAATGAGAACTGTCCAGCAGATTTTGCTAGAGGAAAATTGTTGGTATATTTGAAACGGTGAAATGGTAGCAACAAGAAGTCAGATCTCAGTGGGTTGAAGATTAAATGGGAAGCAAGGAACTGGAGGCAGCAAGTGGACATCCATCTTATAAGAAGCTTAAATTAAAAATGAGAGAGCAAAGCAGTAGATGAAAGGAGGGATGGCACTGAGGATTTGGGGCTTTCTTCCTCCAAACGGGAAAGACCATTCGAGGTTTAGATGATAAAGGAAGAAAACAGTAGGGAGAAGCTGGATGGAATGAATAATGAAGACCAGGAGGGCAGAGGAATCTAGGCACAGCAGGAATGGAGACTAACTGTCTTCAGGAGGAAAGACCCCTCTGCTTGCATCAGAATAGGAGAGCAGAAAGGAATAAAGTAGTTGTGGATGTGGGCAAGTTTATATTTGTCCCACGAATTCAAAGTTTGATCAGACTGACTTCTGGTTGTACCAATTACTTGCCTCTAGCCTGTTCCTGCATTGGTAATGTAAGCTGGTAGAGACTAGATGATTCCTGAAGTCTCTTGTCACGTTTGTGAGGGGCTGCATCAAATAAACTTCATCACAAACCATACATTTAATTATAATTCTGCTAGAAGCTTCATTTATTTGTAAATTTTTTCTCTTACAAAAAATACTCTCCCAACTGAAAGACGTTAAGATACCTAGAAATCTATGTAGACGTTGAGGTTCTTGATAGCAAGTAAATAACATTTGTACATTACACCTCCATGAAGTTCCTTTCTTCCTAGTATAGATGAAGGAAAACCTGTTCTCTCTCAATGGACTGTAAGTTTCCTGGGAGTAGGAGTCATAACTTATTTGTCACTATTTTTGCAGTGTCTCCTCACCTAGTATCTGGCAATTAAATATTTGCTAATTGAGTGAGTAGGATATTACTTAACTGCATGTGATGTCTCACACTATAAGGACTATTTTACAAAAGAAACCTGAAAACTAATGTAGAGAATATACTGAAATGCCTGACTTCTAATGCTGTCATTTAGGCCATCACCTGAATTAAGATGCATTTTTATGTTCTTAAAAGAAAAGTAGAAAAATTGACCTTGATCAGATGAATTGCATTATCTATACCAGTGTTACTGGAAATTGTGTGTCATATTTTTGACTTGTAACTTCTGTTTGTCACTCCCAGCAACTTATTCCATATGTGGAAGAAGATGGCTCAAAGAATGAAGATCGGGCTGGCCCACCTCGTTTTGCCAGTGAAGAGAGGCGAGAAATTGCTGAAGTAAATAAAGTGAGTTGTTAGTCTATATATTTTATTGTTTCTGAATTATTGATACAAATTACAAGGAAGTCTTTGTAACTCAAAAACATAATGTGAATTATAGGACTACATGAAGTTGTGTCTGTGGCAAATTCAGCCTACATAGAATACAAGCCAGAACTCAAAGGGAGGCAGAAATTGCCACCTGAACAGTCAGACGTGAGACCGCAGAATTCAGGGAACAGCGCTCTTACAAAATCCTCAGAGGCGGCTCAGTCACAACACATTTACGTTTTCCTTTTCTAGGCAGCATTGCAGCTCTCTAGCTTACAGCATATCTGGAGCAGCAAATGATAAAAATTTACAAATAAGAAATGTGCATGTCTCAACATCTGAGTAAGAAATTGTCAGAGTTGTCAGAGCACCACCCTATCCCACTGTCCAGTGCTCGAGTACTTAACTTGAATTTATTGCTGAATGGTTTCATAAGTCCAGAAGGTACTGTTCAGATAGTTCTCATGAAACAGAGAGAAATAAGAAGTGTTGTCAGTCCCTTCTGTGGTGGAAACGTGGCCCAGGCTTACTAGAACCTAACCAACACACTAAATATAACTACCAATTTCACTCTTTCACTTAAAAATACACACCCTGCCTCCTGCCGTCTCCTGAAATTCTTAATGCTAGTTAGTAGAATTCATCGGGGTATTAACAATTAATCCACCACAGCCAAAGAGGGTTTCTTGAGGTATGGGAGGATAATGCAGTTTACATATATAATATGTAATATCAGTAGATTAAATTGGAAAAAATGTTTTTCTCAAATCTAAAGGAGGTTTGATAGAATTCAGTTTTGTTGCTGTTTCAAAGAATACTTAAAACTATTAAGATGTCTTTAAAAAAAAACCTTTTTATTTCAGATAAGTAACCAACATTTTTCATAGTGAAATACAGAACTAGTCCTATTAAAAACAGGCATAAAATAAGATGCCTTACACCACTATGTTTAATATTGTTTTAGAAGTTACAGACAGTGAAACAGAAATAAACTTTAGGAAACAGGGTTTATAATGTTATGTACAAAACTGTTAAGTTTGTTAATCTTGTACATAACATCATAACTCAAGCTTCTTAACCTCAAAGAAACTCATTGATTAACAAGTAGAATCAGTAAGAGTTTGATAAAAGGACTTAATACAGGACTAATACCATTTACCTAGAATGCTATATACCAGTTAGATTAGGCTGAATACAAGACTGATGCCATTTTCTTACAATGCTATAAACCAATTAGACTATAAGATCCTGTTCACAGACGTAGAAGCAAATATTAAGTAGTTAGGAATTATCTTGATGATACATGTGGCTAAACTTACTAAGATACATAAAAGAAGTTTTGAATAATTGAAAGAACACATTAAGTTCTGTGTGGGCAATATTCTAAAAATGCCAGTCTCGATTGTTTCCTAGGTTTAATGCAGTAACACTCTAAATCCAAATATGAATTCTCCTGGAAGTACACAAAAAGAGTGAGATTTCAGTGCAACACCAATCAAAAAACAAATCCAAATACAATTCAAACTGGAATTATATTTTCTTGAGAGCATACCAAAATATATGTATTTTTAATTCTGATAAGAGTAATAAAACAGAACTCTTTGCTCCGAAAATTAAAATGTGATATAAAGCATATTACAAAAAAAAACAATTAAGTGTGAAATACTGGCACAAGAATAGACAGGTTAGTAAAGTAATAGAAAAAAACCTGTCTTCCTATTGTAATGATAATTTAATATGACAGAAGAGGGATTGTGTGAAAAATTAGGCTTTAAAAATAGGAACTTTTGCAGAAAATTAAGCTAGCTTTTACATTATACCATGTGTCAAAATGAATTTCAGAGTTTACAATAAAACCTGCATTCGAAATACTGGAAAATTAAAAGAAAAATGTATGTCAAAACTTAGGAGAAAAGAAAGAGGGATAGATTTTATAAAAGAAAATTTTTAGTTTTTTTTTTAAGGAGAAATATAAATTAAGAAGACTGTTTCCAGCAAATCTGACAGTAGTGCGCATAAAGAATTTACAGCAGGGAATTGGTAGGGGATTAGGAACTTTAAATTTAGATCTTGAAGAATAAATGGTGTTTGGTCATCCAGAGATATGAGACATTCATTTATTAAGAAGTGTTATATGTTTCTGTTGGTAATCTATGTATTAATTCACAATGGAGGCCTGTAGTAAGGATATTATTTATAAAATGCAATGAAATGTATACATAAATAGAACACCACTGTAATGATAACTTTAAAAGTACCACATGTGACATAAATATAGTTTGTTCTCTACCACATAAGATTTTGTAATATTTTGGGGGAAAAAAAGCTTGCGTAAATTCAGAAGGTATAATTTTTTATAAATATATGTTTCATTTCACTTTTCATTTCTCTAAGTTCCCCTTTTTTCTAATACGATGGCTTAAAAAATAAACTGTTCTTCATTTTTTTGAAAGACTTTTCACATAATCAGAATATGGTGATACTCTGACAGTGTATAATCAAAAAACTTTTACTAGCTATTGATCTAGAATTTTGTGAATTTTAATGAAGGATATAATTGATACAAAGGATATGATATATAAAAGAATTTTTCTACACATGAGGATGTAGCTCTCTTTACAGTTTCTCTCTGTCCTGGACCCACCTACATACTTCCTTTCCCCTAACCCTTCAATGCAGTTATGCCATAATTGGGATTTGATAAATATTCTGTTCATATTATTATAGCACATAAGTACTGCTTATTGCTAAGCCACATAGTAAACTAACATTAACATTT